TCCTAGCTCTGCTGGTTAGGATTTGTGGGAGTTGTAGTCCAAGAAACCTTGGGGATCCAAGGTTGGGGACCCCCTGGTCTAGATGATGTAACTGCTTAACAGTGTGGGAGTTTCTTCTCGCTTCTCTCCTCGCAGAATTGTGACTTAGTGGTTGTGAATATTTTGAGACACCTTCCTTCCCCCCCCCCCCCCCCCCAGGGAACACCCGCCCACGACCTGAGCACAGTCATAGCTTTGAAGCATTATTTGTTTTGGGGGCCATGCTGGCTGAGGTCAGAAAGATCTGGGCACCGTCATCCAGAAACCCATCCCCTCAGTGCTTCAAAGTTCTGTGCCAAAGTAGGAGACATCTCGAGCTGTAGGAAACCGAAGCAAGCATCTGCTTCCAACCACTAGGTAATGCAGTTGATTTGGCTTCAATTGGCTTTACCTAGTGGGGGGTAGACTAAATTTTATCCCCAGTTCTCTGATGGGAGTTTGCCGCAAAACAGGAACCCCGATTTTCAAACGAAGGTGATGAGGGAGGGGAAAAGGCTGAATACTCTACGGCCTTTGGTTCAGGGAGTTGGGAGGGGGAATCCAAGCAGCGCCTCCCCAGGAGAGGAAGGTGGAACTGACACTCCCGACAAGGTGTTTGCAAGCCTGCATGATCAGAGCTCGCCTTTAAGGAACAGACAAGGACATTAGCCATGACTTCTGGGACTTTTGTATGGGTTTTTCCCCCCTGCACCATCCACAATAGATTGGTGCACAGCCTGAGAAAGACTAACATCGGTCGAAAGTTAGCAGCTATTTGAATTGAATTGAATTGAATTTTTTCCTCTCTTTTATTATTAAAAACAAAGAAAAAAACCTAAATGCGATGTGCTCCCGACCACCAGGACCATTTCTTTCATTTTTCCATGGCCTGTTAAAGGTCTCCCCTGCCCTTGCTTTTTATACTGTCTCAAGACCACACGGCTTGGCTTGTTTTTCTTGAGAGTGGGTGTGCCACCGATCTTGCTTGCTTCTGCCTCCCCGCCGTGGGAGCCCCGCCTACGGGAGTGTGAATGGTGATCCGTCGCCCTGTCTCCACCTTGCAGGAGTCCGTGGATTGGGTCGGGGACTACAATGAGCCACTGACGGGCTTTTCCTGGCGTGGTGGGTCGGAGCGGGAGACCACGGGCATCCAGATCTGGAGTGAACTCTTTCTGGTGGACAAGCCAGATGGAAACAGGGTAGGTGGTTCACTGGGAGGAAATTCACAGCGCCATGTATTTGTCGAGTCTGGTTGTTGTTGTTGCTCCCAATTTCTGGACCTTGTCCACCATCCCTGTAGTCCTAAGTTGGTTTACTTTGGGAGGGCAGGCTTCTAGGCTATTCTCAAAGGTCCCACATGGATTTGACTAGAATGAATGACTCACTCTCCTTCTGGAGAAGCACCATGATGACTTGGCCATCATCTAGACCAGGGGTTGTTCCCAACCGTGGGTCACCCAGGTGTTCTTGAACTACAACTCCCAGAAATCCTGGCCCGCACAGCTAGTGGGGAAAGCTTTTGGGAGCTATAGTCCCAGGAACACCTGGGTTACTCAAGGAGTTGGGAACACCACTGATCTAGACGGAGAAAGCATGCATCGAGGCCAAGCATGTGTGCCCTTGGGTGGCAGGAGGTCATCACAGCGAAGTTGGGGCCATTGACCTTGTTTCAGCAAAGCAGTTCTGCCACGCCATCTTGGTCTTCTTGACGACCCACGAGAAGTCCTGTCATCTGGCTGGGGAAGGGAGTGCCTCCATAAGACGGATGCAGAAGTTGGACAACATTAGCCAGACGTCGGTGTATTCCCGCTGGTGGGTGGAGCCAATAGCTATACAGCAGCCTTCCCCGACTAGCCACCCTCCAGATTATTTCAACACGATCTTGTTTCCCACCTCTGGCCACCACCTAAACCACAGCGTAGGCCATCCTGAAACCGCTCACCTCAATCCTCTGGGTTTTTTCAGTGAACGCCCAAGGAAGGTTTGAGTATTAGGAGCACTGACTCCCCCTGCGCACTTCCTCGGTGGCCAGACATTCGTCTCGGAAACCTTCCTTCCTGCCTCTTTCTCTTCAGGTGGCTGTGCTTCTAATGGACACTCAGGGGACCTTTGACAGCCAGTCGACGCTGCGAGATTCGGCCACCGTCTTCGCTCTCAGCACCATGATCAGCTCCATCCAGGTAAGGAAAGTGGTCCGTGGCCGTTGTCCCGTCCCTCGTGCAGGATGCAAGGCACTGCCGGGTGGTCCTCCTGCCCTGACCTTCGGAGACAGTGTGGTGGAAACAGCTTTCCTCAGCCATCCTTCTTATTACAGTGGTGCCCTGCATAGCGAGTGCCCCGTTTAACGACGAATCCACATAGTGATGCGGATTCTGCGATCGCAAAAGTGATCGCATTGCGATGTTTTAAGTGGCCGAAAATTGCATTGCAATGATTGGTAAGCGTTTCACTTACCGATCTTCGCATTGCAAAGTTTTAAAAACAGCTGATTGGCAGTTCCAAAATGGCCATGGGCTAAACAAAATGGCCGCCCGCAGCGTTTTCTCGCTGTTTTCTCGCTTACCGGGCGGCGAAAATGGTGGCCGGATGCAGGATTTCCGCATAGTGGTGAGTTTTTCCCCCATAGGAAGGCATTAAACGAGGTTTAATGCGTTCCTATGGGGTTTTTCATTCCGTATAGCAATGATTCCGGATAGCAACGTTTTTCCTGGAACAGATTAACATCGCTATGCAGGGCACCACTGTATATGTTTATGAATGCTTATAAATGTCTTGATTGGCTGGATAGCTCAGTGGGCTTAGGTCTCTGACTGTGGAGTTCAGAGGTTGGGAGTCTGATTCTCTGGTGGTGCATCTCCAGAGAGAAGAGCCAGCCTGGGTGGCCTTGGGCCAGCTGCATGGTCTCACAGCGCCCCTAGAGGAAGGGAAGGGAAAAGCCACTTTTGAGTGTTCTCTACCTGGAAAAAAAACTGAGTGGGACCTCCATAAATCAGAATTGACTTGACGGCCCATGATTATTATTTACAAACAACTTAGATCTAATCAACGGCGAGGTTTATACAAAAATTATTTAAAAAACCATAAGATATATTTGTCAACGACCTGCATTTTTGGACGGTCTCTGGCTGTGGGAAGCGAGTGCTTTCCGCTCCATGTTCCCACGTCAAAACCTGCTGCTGAGTGATTGTGGAAGAAAACAAGGGGTGTCGTGAACCCAACAAGAGATCCTTGATCTTGGATGGGTGCCAGAGAAAAGGAGCCCAGGGTACATGGGGGGGAAGGAGGGTTTCTGCCATTTTAATGCTCATGGAAGCGTTTTGTATCCCAGGTGTACAATTTGTCACAGAATGTCCAGGAGGACGACCTCCAGCATCTGCAGGTAAGGCCCACCTGCTCCCCTCCCTTTGGCCTCTGGCTTTGGAGAGTTGTGCCCCGTCTGCCAGTCATGTCTGAAACAGCAGACAAGGTGGCCTTGGGGTTTGTGAATCCAGCTTCATGGGAACATCTGCTTTTGCTTTATTCATTTTCATTTAAATGAACACCATCTGGTTCTGAGGATGCAAATAATGCCTTCATTTCCCTAAGCCATCACAATGACTTTACACAATCACATCCTTTAAAATGTCATTTGATTTGGTTGCATCGTGGTACTGCTAGTTCACCCAACTTGGTCATCTTGATATGTTGGCTGCCTTGTCCTTAAAAGTTTCCTATTTGAGAGCTGTTTGTAGGAGATCTGTGTTATTTCTGATGTAGAATTCTGGAAAAAAAATTAAAAAGATAAATATTTGGCTGGCCTGAGCAGAATCACAGAAAGGGAACCTCTTTTGAGTCTCTGTCCGGCCTTGGACACACTATTATTGTTGTTAAGACCCGTGAAATGGCTTCCGATGAATGACTGGCTTAATGACCTCCAAGGCTCCTTGATCTTGACCTTGGTCTCTAGCAAAACATCTCTTAAGGGCCTGTTCCAGTTCCCGCAGCTGCCCTGCCAAGTCTCTGTCAAGACTCAGCTGGATTTTAACTGCAAGACTCAGCTGGAAAATGTTATGGATGCATGCAACCCAACGCCCACAAAGAGTGTAAAGTGGCAATTCAGAGAATGATCGGAATCTCCATGAATAATGCACGAAACGTGTATTTATTTTACCAACGCTTCTGATAATAGCGTATCTTATTGCACTCAAAGATGAGTTCAGATATGGCTGGTCAGCTCAGTGACTGCAAAGCGAGAGGCTGGAAATTTGATTCACCCGATGGGACTCCTGCGAGTACAGCCAGCCTGGGTGGCCTTGGGCCACCTGCACAGTCCCACAGCGCCCCTAGAGGGAGGACATGGTAATAGACCTTTGAGTATTCTGTTCTTGGAAAATCCTGAAAAGAGCCTCCATAAGTTAGAATAGACTGAACAGCACACGATTCTTTGCTGGCCGGAGAGCTCAGTGGTTGAGGTCTCTGGCAGTGGAGCCCAAGGTTGGGAGTTCGATTCCCCTGCTGGGACCTGCACAGTCCCACAGCGCCCCTAGAGGGAGGACATGGTAATAGACCTTTGAGTATTCTGTTCTTGGAAAATCCTGAAAAGAGCCTCCATAAGTTAGAATAGACTGAACAGCACACGATTCTTTGCTGGCTGGAGAGCTCAGTGGTTGAGGTCTCTGGCAGTGGAGCCCAAGGTTGGGAGTTCGATTCCCCCGCTGGGACCCCTGGGAGAAGAACCAGGCTGGGTGGCCTTGGGCCAGCTGCACAGTCCCGGGGCGCCCCCGGAGGACATTAATGGGAAAACTGCTTCTGAGTATTCTCTATCTGGAAAACCCTGAAAGGGTTCACCATCAGTCAGGATTGGCTTGACTGCACCTGATTACTATGTGCTCACCAGCAGATAAGAGTCAGAATTATATGTATAAAATGCAAAAACCCTCCACCCAAAGGTGCTTTAAAAAATTACACCCATTTTCTTATTGGTAAATGTTGTCAAGAGACATTTTCAGCAGTTAACTTGTGTTGTAGCAAAAACTATGGATTGACGTCCATGAAAGCTTGTGGCTGGGTGTTTGCTAGGGTTTAAGGTGCCCCAAGACTCCCTGTTCTCCCCCCCCATCATCATCATCATCATCATCATCATCATCATCATCATCATCATCATTCAAAAGTACCAGACACAGTCAATCAAAATTATAAAAACGTTGACTCTTATGACATAACAGATAAAAGTTTTAACCAAAAACCTCAGTGTCTGTGAAATATCAGCACAGCATGTTCACTGTTCCTAATATTGCCGTGTTGTGGGTTTTTTTGAAGGGACAGATTGTCTTTGTCTTCAAGGTGGAAGGGATGGTCACTCTCGAATTGGCCTTCTCAGCCACACTAGACGCTGTTCCAAGTCCTCCATACAGAGCACGCTACCATAGTCTTTCGAGACTGAAGGATGCCTAACCTATGTTCATGGTTCCTAATATTGCGTGTTGTGGTTTCTTTTTTGGTATTATTATTATTATTGCTGTTGCTGCTGGTATTGTTATTGCTATTGTTGATGACGCCTCCCCTTGATCTCTCCTTGGTTTGGCTCTCCTTCCAGCTCTTCACAGAATACGGGCGGCTGGCCATGGAGGAAACTTTTCTGAAGCCCTTCCAGGTAAGAGGATGACAGGAGGGGATGCAGACCTTAACACACACACCCAAACCGCCTATTGTGCACCCTTGCGTCCTGCCGGTCTTCTGCTTCACTGTGGAATACCATCCTCATGACCTCGACCAGCCGTCCCCTAATTAGTGCCTTGCTCTTGTTCCGGATCACAACAACCATCATCCACAGCCGTTCTCCATTTTCAGGAGCTGGCCCAGTTCCCCAAGATGGCAAAACCCCTTTGCTTTGCCGACTAGCTTCCGTGTCCAAGTTGGCACATTATTACATGGCAGAGCCTCCCGGGTGCCAGGGGCACAGATGTTCTAACAACAATAACAAAAACAACAACAATAACAACAACAATAAGTGTCCAAGTTGGCACATTATTACATGGCAGAGCCTCCCGGGTGCCAGGGGCACAGATGTTCTAACAACAATAACAAAAACAACAACAATAACAACAACAATAATTATTACAGTCAAGGACCATGAAGATAAGAATACATTATTTAGATAAAATCAGAGACATTGTCCAAGAGATGACACCATCAATGCACTCTCTGGCTCTTTTATGACATTAAAGTTTAAGAGATGTTCTGAGCTAGCTGGCAGCACTGAAAGCTATAAAAGCTTTTAGAACATCGCAGCAGTCTCATGAGATAGAATGAAACTGAGAGACATCTAAGGGTCACAGATGCCAAAGGACCAAAGATCACTGGTCTGAGGTGTGGGCCGAGAATGCATGCACTGATTTTTCTCGCCCGTGGCCATGCTCACTTGGGGGGGGGGATCCAGGGATCTAAAGTTTAAAAAAGAACTTTTTCTGAGCCATGAGCATTTCTGTGTCATTCTAGCTTGGAAGGGGGGGGGAGAATCTTGCTTGAACACCGCGTGGTGGCTCTTGATCCCGTCAGAACTTCTCCCCTCTTCCTTCTGGCTGGGAGGATGGATTGGGCACCCCGCTAGCTGTCCTTTTTTTGATGGGTGGGTGACTACGTTGCTGTGCTCCTTGCCCTCATCTTCCACGGAGAGAGGGGAGCCTCTCCCTTGTGATCTGAAGGCCCTTTGGATTTTGCAATATATCACCACGAAGGTGTCCTTACTGTGTGAAGGTTACGTGAGTGACCTTGGGAAGCGATGCAGGTTAGGGCGCCCCATTTTGCCCACAGAACCTCTGTGGTTCTCTCCTGGCATCATCAGGTGGGGCCTGATCCTCATCCTGCCATTCGCCCTGGAGAGATCACGGCTTCCAGCTAAAATTGATCACTGTCCAGTTAAGCGGACTGGCAGTCCAGAGTCATATAAAAACAGCTTGCTACATTCCTGAGATTAACACTCGTTTTGCGCCTGTTTCTCTCCTTCCCGCCTTTCTAGTCCCTCATATTCCTTGTCCGTGACTGGAGCTTTCCTTACGAGTTTTCTTACGGGGCCGACGGGGGATCCAAGTTTTTGGAAAAGCGCCTCAAGGTTGGTACGCAAGGTTTTAGGTGTTGAACTTATTCCGAGATGCTTTCCCCTTTCCCCTCTTCAACTGGGGACGAAAAATTCTCAGAGCAGATCATCTGCGTGCTGTATTAGAAGCCAGTTCCAACCCACCCACCCAAAAAATTGCCGGACAGTATCTCTGGCGTGGCTTAAACGCACATTGGACGTCATCGAATTTAGCCTCTGGCTTTTTCAGAACATATTTTGCCGCTTAACACAAAGAGAAGTGGAAATGTAGCCAAGGGGAAGGGCACGCATCACTCCCGAAGCAAAACCCCTTGTCTTCATGGAGGGTTTTGATCCCTCCCTCAGATTTCAAGGAGAAGGGTCAGCCTGTAGGGCCTTTGGCAGGCTGCACGGGGGTCCGGTTAACGTGTCAGGGCAAAGCCCTTGTCAACCCTGAGTGCCCGAGAAACCCCCCTTCTCTGTGGTGGCCCCTCCCCTCTGGAACATCTTGCCTCCTGAGATTCGCCTGGCATCCTTGCTGGGAATTTTTAAGAGCAAGCTGAAGACTTGGTTCTTCAGGCAGGCCTTCCTTCCCCCCCCCCTCCATCACTTAGTTTCTGGTGTTTTACCATCTTGACTTTGCTCATCTCTCATTTTTGTTTGGATATTGTTTGTTTTAATTCTTGGTTTTATATTGCTCGGGCTGTAAGACGCCCAGAGTAGATTCGTATAAAATCTGGATGGGATGGGTAAAAGCCAAACACACAGATAGATAGACAGAGAGAGAGAGAGAAAGAATCAGCAGTCTGTTATTATTCGAGAGCCAGTGTGGTGTAGTGGAGAGAGTATCTGAGTAGGACTGAGGTTCAAATCCCCACTTAGCCATGGGATCTCACTCTGTGTCTCTGTATTTTTAAATTTAACTTTCCGGCCCATAACAAAACAACATCTCATGTTTGGCCTTCCAGTCCCTAATGTGATTGTTTTTTGCCCCTCTGGTGTCTCCTTCTCCCATGGGATACGGTAGGACCCCTGTATCTACAGGATCAGTATCCACTGATTCACGTATCCCCATGGGTACATATATATATATATATATCTATTTTGAGGGTTTATTTACCAGAACCGGCCCCGAGAGGGATCCAGAAACCATGCAATATGTAGCATTTGATAACTTCTGCCTTTTTCACCATCCACGGAGGTGGGGCTTGGAATCTGTCCCACCCAGAAACGCTCCACGAGGGGCCAGTTTATTGAAGCCCCCCGTTGTTGATTTTTCCCCCCGGATCCCTTCCCCTGCAAAACCTCGGCTGCTCATCTCCTGCTCCCTCTCAGGTCTCGGGAAACCAGCACGAGGAGCTGCAGAACGTCCGAAAGCACATCCATTCCTGTTTCACGAACATCGCCTGCTTCCTTTTACCTCACCCGGGCTTGAAAGTCGCCACCAATCCCAACTTCGATGGGAAGCTCAAAGGTTGGTCCTGGTTTCGCCTTGCGCCTGCCCTGCTGTGTTGAACCACCACGAGGTGGTTCCTCTCCTTTTTTTCGTCCTGGTGGGTCCTCAAGATGGCGTCCAGTTCCATGGGGAGGGGAGCATAGCATGAGCGTCGCTTCCCCCATCCAGCGGCTCGTCCCGAGGCCGTCTGCTGTCCAAACCACACAGGACATAAAGCTGCCAAGGTGTATATGGTTCTTTTCTCAAACGAGGTGCAGTCGTGTGTCCATCTTCTTTTAGACCCTCCGGTTTCTCTGAGAAACTGGAAGGGACCTTCTCAATTCTTTGGGCTGGTCCAGGAATGATGGATAGTACCGCACAGGGTGTCCCGCGGAAGGGGAAATGACCCGCCCAAACTTGCACATTTCAATAAAAACCAGAAGTAGCTAATCAGAGGAAAACCTTGCAGGAAATATGTATGTATGATTTTTTAATAAATATAACTACATGCCCTCTGGTCACTGTCAACTTGCGGAGAGCCCTCCTGTGGCTTTTCTAGGTAGAGAGGACTCGGACGTGGCTTTCCGTTCCCTCTTTCCAGAGATGCTTTGGGAGTGCGCTGGGCGTCCCAAGGCTGCACAGCCTGAGTTTTCTCCCAGGAGGCCCAGCAGGGAATCAAATTCCTGATCCCTGGCTTCTCTGCCAGCCTCCATCTCACTGAGCTACCCAGACAGGAAGATGTATAAGGACAGGGAGAGGATTCCTTGATTGACTTTTAGATTTCTGGTCCTCCTGTTCCGGACAGACTTAGAACCTGTGGGCATTGGGCGAACTTGGAGCAGGGCTAAGGTGGAAACGGGTTCTATGCACCTGAGCAAGGTTGGATTCTGGATAGAGATGGGCACGGACCTCGGTTCGTAGGTTGGTGCCAGCTCGTCGGAACGGCACCAGAGGTGCCACGCGTTCCTTTCCCCCATCCCCCTGGCCGGATCCTCCACTCACCGGCCAGTGCGCGCTTCTCCTGTCCTCCTCCTCCAGCAGCTGCCCACTTGGATGAGGAGGCGGGGCAGGGGTTCCTGCAGTGCTGCCTTTGAGTGGGCGGTTGCTGGAGGAGGCAGAGAAGGGAAGCACAAGCTCCTGCCAGGACTGGATAAATAGCTGAAGAGGAGAAGAGAAGTGCATACCATCTGGTGAGTGGAGAATCTAGCCAGGGGTGTGTGGGAAGGAAACATGTGGCACAACTCTGGTGCCAGTCCGACGATCCAGCACGAAGCTCTGAACTGAGGTTCGTGCCCATCTCTAGTCCTGGAGGTTCTTGGCAGCTTCCTTATCTCCAAACAATCTTCATCAAAAAAGGGATGTTTTGCCTCATTATAGTCAAAGTCGTTCTTCTAATTTTAGTTATTGTACAGCACGCACGCACAGATACAAAAGCGATACGGTCCAAGAGATTGATTCTGATCTTTGTGAATCAAAAGCTCGAATCCTCTTCACTGAAAAGGCTAGCAAAAGTGCAGTGGCGTAAACTGGAGTGGCACATTGCTACTAGTTAATGAGTCACTGCTTGTACTCCCTGTCATGGGGAAGTTCCGGGGCTTAGGGCGTGGCAAGGAATGCAAGCAGCAACTCCTTAATTAGTGGCAGTTTGCAGCTGTGATTTTCACAATTGCGGTAACACTGGTGTGTGTAAGCATCAGGACTTAGCTGACAGGAAGGCCGTGTTCACGTCATTCAAGGGTAGAACACCCCTCCTGGTTTTAGCTTGCTTGTGGTCTTTGCACAGGCCTCTGGTCAGCAACTGATGGTCCACATGGTGACCAGCGTGCTGGATCAAATAGGGTTGTGGTTGTTGGTCTTTGCTTTTGTAAGCAACTTTTGAATCTCTGAGGTTAAACTTCAGCTTCTTTCCCATTTCTCATTCTGAGATTCCTAACTAATGTTGCACGGAAAAAGACGGGGGGGAAATGGCAAAGCATGTGAACATCTCTAAATTTCTATCTCCGGATATAGACTGCAGTTTAACCTCAGTGAGTGGTCTGATCCAACGTAGCTCTTTACTCTGATTCGTGAAGGCTGGTTTTGTCCGGCTGCACCCACCAGTTGCAATGTGTTCTTAAGGGCCCTGTTTTCAAGAGTTCCCAATGGATGCCTACAAAGGCCACGATGAAAAGAACAGCATTTTTAAATGCACGGATTGCCTTCTTCTACTCACAGAAATTGATGACGATTTCATCCGTAACCTGAAGGTGCTGATTCCCTGGCTCCTCAGCCCGCAAAGCCTGGAGGTCAAGGAGATCAACGGGAATAAAATCACCTGCCGAGGCCTTGTGGAATATTTCAAGGTGAGCTGTTTCCTGAGCATGGGCAGAAGGTCCTTCTCCACTGTGGGGTCGGAGGCAGAAGCTAGCTTTGTAAGAGCGTTCAGGCAGCGGCTTCTCCATTATCAATCCACCCATGGGGAAGGCCAGGTGGAAAGAGATCCTGGGCCACCGACGCGGAGAGCATAAAATGAAAAAAAAAACACAACAGTGCCTGATTAAGGTGAACCCTGACGAGTGGCCGCACCACCTGCGTTTACAAAACGGTTGCTGAGGGTTTTAAAATGGACGTTGGGAGCTCTTCTGTCCACGGATGGCTCTCCCGTGTTCTGTGGTTTGTTGCAAAAGACTTGCGGCTCAGACCTAAGTAAAGGTAAAGGTTCCCCTTGACATTGAGTCCAGTCGTGTCCGACTCTAGGGGGCGGTGCTCATCCCCATCTCCAAGCCAGCATTTTGTCCGAAGACAGTTTCTGTGGTCACGCGGCCAGCGTGACTAGACATGGAATGCCGTTTCCTTCCCCACCGAGGTGGTCCCTATTTATCTACTCGCATTTACATGCTTTCGAACCGCTAGGTTGGCAGGAGCTGGGACAAGCAACGGGAGCTCCCTCCGTCGTTTAGATTTGATCTTATGACGGCTGGTCTTCTGACCTTGCAGCCCAGAGGTTTCTGCGCTCAAACCAGATGCCTCTTCTCCGGGCCCATGGCTGTCTCCCAGCCAAGCCCAGGGGGTGGGCTCCTCACAGTTTTCATGTAGTTGTTGATCTCGCCTTGTATAACCCTTGTTTATAGATTGCATTTTCACAGCGAGTGGGTTTTTCTTGCCAAGACATGGTGAGGAACAAGTTCTGTGTTCTCAACCAACGTTGCCTCTTCTTGTCCTTTTCTCTCTCCCCACCCCCGACCCCTTCGTAGGCCTATATTAAGATCTACCAAGGAGAAGAACTGCCACATCCCAAATCAATGTTGCAGGTAATTCATTTGTTGCCCATGAAGCTCCTGGAAATATGTTGTTGTTGTTGTTGTTGTTGTTGTTGTTGTCGTTGTCGTTGTCGTTGTCGTTGTCGTTGTCGTTTTTGTTGTTGTTGTTATGTACCATCAAGTCACTTCTGACTTCTGGCGATCCTGTGAGCCAGCCATCTCCGAAATGTACCGTCCTCAACAGCTCTGCCCGGGTCTTGCAGACTCAAGCCGGTGGCTTCCTTGAGGGAGTGTCTGTCTCATCTTGGGGTCTTCCTCTTTTCCTGCTGCCTTCCACCTTTCCCATCATCATTGCCATTTCCAGAGAATCCTGCTTTCTTAAGATAAGAAAGTCAGACGGCCTCAGTACCATCCTTTTTGCCAACAGGCTGGACTGGATCTGGGACCCGCTTGGTTCTCCTTCTGCCTGTCCAGGGTCTCTGCAAAGGCAGATATCTCCTCCCGCACCAGCTTTCAAATGAATCCGCTTTTTTCCCCGTCAGCTTTCCTGATGTCCAGCTTTCGCACCCTGACGTGGTGATCGGGAATATAAGTGTGGATGATCTTGGTCTTGTGGAAAACAGTCCCTTTTCTAAAGATACTGTTCACATGCAGATTTGCAGTTTTGGACGACAATTCTGGGAGTTCCTGTCAAACCCTCTCCCCCCCCTAAAAAAATCTGCATGTTTTTTAGTATCTTTGTATATTTTTTCGTTTGTGTTTTCATTTTCTTCCAGCCGCGACAGCTAAGGGAGTGAATCACTTCCTTTCTGTTTTTACATTTTTGGATGCTTTCCTGCACGATTGGCTAAACTGCCTGGATTCCACACATACTGGTCTGATTAAAATGCAAGTTTCATCAGAGCTTGGAAAAAGTCTCTGGTTTGGGGGCTACAGCTCCAGAATCAACTAGGGGACATGCTGACTGGGGATTCTGGGTGTTGTAGTCTGACCCCCTTCCCCAGGCTCTGAGTGAAATTAAGGTATGTCAAGGACTAAAGGATGTTAGTTTAAATCTGTTGCCCGAGTAGGATGATATCCTTTCAGAGAATGGATGAGGGTCCTTTCTCCCTCCAGTTCCATGGGGCGTTTTGGGGCCTGGAAAAGCCTGCCCCCCCTTCGACTGTCTCGAATTCCAATCCTGCACATGTTCTTCTATCTCCCCCACCCTCTTCGTTTCCTCTGCATCCGGTTCACTTTCCTTCTCAACCAGGTCTGGCTGACCTCCTCTTCCACCCCTCTAAGGGGGCTACGGTCGCTTTTGGGAGAGGTCGGCATCGCAGCCTTCTCTCTCCCCCCCCAGGGGCCGGCCCCGGGGCCCTTCATCACAGCCGAGGAAGGTCTGCGGCTGACAGGGCTGGCCAGGCCCCTGGCCCCTCACCGAAGCCTCCTCCATGGGGGGATGTAAGGGGAGAGGAAGAGGACTCGGCTGCTTTTAACTTAACAGCCACCCGGCGAACCTAAAAGGCAAACGGCATCGCAGCCTTCTCTCTCCCCCCCCAGGGGCCGGCCCCGGGGCCCTTCATCACAGCCGAGGAAGGTCTGCGGCTGACAGGGCTGGCCAGGCCCCTGGCCCCTCACCGAAGCCTCCTCCATGGGGGAATGTAAGGGGAGAGGAAGAGGACTCGGCTGCTTTTAACTTAACAGCCACCCGGTGAACCTAAAAGGCAAATGCTATTTTAGGATGCATGAACAGAAGTATAATCTCAAAGTCCTGTGAGGAACTAGTTCTGCTCTAGTCGATGCTGGTGAGGGCTCACATTTCATATGCTGCATTTCAAGAAGGATGCCAGCAAATGGGAGCAAATTCGGAGGAGGGCGACGAGGAGGATCAGGGGGCTGGAAGCCAAGCCTTAGGAGGAAAGGCTGGAAGAAGTGGGCCTGTTTAGCCTTGAGGGGAAAAAAAGATGGAGGGGGGATAGGACAGGACTTTTTAAAGACTCAAAAGGCTGTCCTCCAGAGGAGGGGCAGGATCTGTTCTCAGTCCTCCCAGAGTGCAGAACGTGCAACTGTGGGCTCAAAGGAAAGCCAGATTTCCTGATATTCTCCAGGCAGAGTATCAGAAAAAAACTTCTTAACTGTTAAGAGTAGTACGACAATGGAACCCATGAAAATCGGACCACCAGCTGTTGGATCTGCTTTGATTGTGGCATTGAGCAGAGGATTGGACCTGATGGGCCTGATAGGTCCCTTCCAACGCCGTGATTCTATGAACGGACAAGATCCTTGTCATGAACTGCCGTGCTCAGGTCTTGCAGACGGAAAGCCGTGGAGGCCCTTCTGGATCGGCTCCCTCTCTCATTGGGTCTCTTCCCGTGTGGCACGGCTTGCCTATGATCTACCCCAGTCCCATCGCTCCGCAGAGCCGCAGGGGAACCGAAGTCTGTGCCCCTTCCCCTTGGGCTTGGTCGCCCCTTCTTTTCTGGAAATCAGCTGAACACCTAAGTTGTAGGAAAGTTGAGGTGTAGCCAAGCAGTGTGGCAACCGGATCTTCTCTGCTAGCATCTTGTCCTCTTCCTCCTTATAATCCCCAAACGGTTGCTTGGTGAGGAAGAAAGCCACTGTCATTGGGAACGGCTTGTGCTCCTGCCGGAGAGGCCGTGTGGCTGTTTCACCAGGGCGCACCATGCAAAGAGGATCCAGTGCGGATGAGTGGAAAATGGAAACAGGAGTCCATTTTCATCACCGCTGCTCTGTGGGAGGCCAAACGTCCACATTGAGTAGCTGGGTATTTATTTATTTAAAATATATTTTTACCCCGCCTTTCTCCTTGAAATCAGTACCAATGCAGCTGACAGCAATGAAAAGACAGTGTTTAATACTGAGAAGCAGTGATGTGTAAAAAGAATTAAACAAGTCTAGTATTAAAAAATGGTCTATAAAATCAATGCTAAAAACAGCCGAGCACGACCATCTGTTTTGAAACCCTCTCTTGGGCTGACAGTCACGAAGCAAACGAGAAAGGCCTTTTTGCCTGTCCCAGAGGTGATATTAAGCCTGCACCAAGAGGGAAATATGTTTGTCTTTGTCTGTTTGCTGCTGAACCTGTGGGATGTCTGCCCCTGCCGGCTGAGCGGCAGCTGTTCTTGTGTTGAGTTCGAATTATTTCATTGTCCTGATCATGGCATAAATTCTTGGATGGGGTGTTTTGGTGGGACCTGAAGCAGGTGGCGGAGGGCACAGCCTCTGGAGATGATCGTCATCCAGTCCGATTTGCACCGGTCTTTGTCCAACCCCCACCCAATTGTCTTACAACTTTTTTTTGAACTGAAGAAGCCCCCTTCCGCCCTCTAGTGGCAAAAAATTATTATTTAAAACCCTTTCATTAAATTGGCAGAGTGGGATTCCTAGAAAAATCCTCTCCCCCTTCCCCAGGTGCCCCAGAGGTACATTAAAAACATTTGGGGGGTCTGTGTGTAGCTACTTGGGGGGGGTCCAGTGTCCCGTGGGCCACACTAGTGCTGTGGGAGAAGTTGCATCAGGTTTGCGTGCTACTCGTTGCCCATCCTGGCTTAGAGTTCACAAGTCAGCGCATGCCTTCCCGTTGCTCTAGGTTGGGTCATGAGCCTCAGGCAGAAATACCGAGCGGCGTAACCCATCCTCCCCCATCCTCCCAATTTCTGGGCCTGGGGTGCAATCCCCTGGGGGGGCAGCTCCACAGGCCTGAACCCCATGAGGATGCTAAGGAGGAAGAATCTCCCCCCCCCACACTCTGTGTGCTGCATCTGGGGTTTTCTCAGCATCCCTGATTTCTCCTCCCAGCGGCCTGCCCAGGTCAGCCAGGCTGAGAGAGGACAAGTGGCCAGCCCCACGGTTGACCCAGGGAATGTCGTGGTCCAGCCAGGGACTAGACCCTCCGAAGGCCCCCGCCTGGCATGCTAACCGATGTGCCCTGCCAGTTCCTTGATTCATGGGGAGAGCGGTTGCCGGAGGGAAGCAAGGGCCACCTGGTAACCCTGGGGGGGGGGGAGACAGCAAAACTAATGGTGTGTTTCCCTTTTTTCTTTTCCTTCCTCGCTCCAGGCGACCGCCGAAGCCAACAACCTGGCCGCTGTTGCCACAGCGAAGGATACGTATAACAAAAGGATGGAAGAGGTAACTCCCCTGGGGCTCCCCTCCCTTCCCCCCAATCTAAAAGGACTCCCGTCAACGAGCCCCCCCCCGATGAGCGACAGGACCTCCTAAAGGTCTTGGAAAGGGTTAGGGTGAAGTAGGTCAAACCGGTCACCCCCTGATGGGGCATTCAGTGGGTCTCTGCGGAGTAGGTGCTTTGGAAATACTGGTGTGTGCCAGAGATTGGGAGGAGCGTGCTTGGGGACTACGGCTTCCAGAATCCCCCGGCCAGCACAGCCAGTGGATTGTGGGCATTGGGGTGCTCGGAGGGACCTGAATTAACCTGTTTTAGATCTCTGCGTTGTGTACCTCCAACTCAGCCCCCCCTGCTGAAAATACGGCCTTTCCCTCCATGTGTGATGCAGATTGACGTAGATCTGTTCTGTGCCATTTGTTTCTGCCCCTCGCAAGCCTAGGAGGGGAGATTTCAAGGCCACGGATCATCCATCTTTTGTCCTCTGCAATCCTGCCCAGACCCCCCCCTTCCCTCTCTGGCCACTGATTCCTCCGTGGCCTGGTGTTAAATTTGAAGGTTTCAGGGGCTGGTCACGGTAGCCCTCCCCTTTAGGAAAATTCAACAGCAAACCAAGAGTGGGTGTTTTGTAAAGCTAATGGTTCCTGATGGCCCGTTCAAGACCAAACGACCCTCAAACGCTTCGTATGACAGCTGGGGGAGCTTCCCTTTTTCACCCAGCTGCTGTGGGGACGGCTGAGATGCTCCCAGGCCTCCACAGAGGGGTCTCCATCTCTCCCCAAATGGCCGGTCCAAGGATGTAGCCGGGACGGTTAAAGCTGTTCTCCAACGGATCTGGCTTGGAAGGGCAGCGCCGGCCAGCCAGACGATGAGAGAATCTCTTCTGTGCCGTTCGTCCTCCCTTGACCCCCCCCTTCAAACCCATCCCCAGGTGTGCGGGGGCGACAAGCCCTTCCTGGCCCCCAGCGACCTCCAGAACAGACACCTGGAGCTCAAGGAGGAGGCGGTGAAGCAGTTCCGCAGCGTGAAGAAGATGGGTGGTGAGGAGTTCAGCCGGCGGTACCTCCAGCAACTGGAGGCCGAGATCGACGAGCTCTACGTCCAGTACATCAAGCACAACGACAGCAAGAACATCTTCCACGCGGCCCGCACCCCGGCCACCCTCTTCGTGGTGATCTTCATCACCTACGTCATCGCGGGTGTGACCGGCTTCGTCGGGCTGGACATTGTGGCCAGCCTCTGCAACATGATCATGGGCCTGACCCTCATCACCCTCTGCACCTGGGCCTACATTCGCTACTCGGGGGAGTACCGGGAGCTGGGGGCCGTCATCGACCAGGTGGCCGCCGCCCTCTGGGACCAGGTGAGAGAGCCCCCCCCACTTCAGCCCCCTCCAGCCTCAACGGCCTCGTCTTGTCCCTCTGGGTCGGGAAGGGGGCAGAGTTTTTTTGGGGGGTGTTTCAGGACAGCGGGAAAGGAGAGCCAAAGCGGGCTGTGACCGGGAGCCCCCCCCCCAGTGGTCCTCCCTAAAAAGCAGGACCAGCTTGGAGAAGGAGAGTCAATGCAAACGGTTTTTTAATCTCCTTGTCCTTGAAAGTTGGGGTCCTCTAAGGGTCGGGGCTGGAGGTTCCCCCCCCAATCCGGGCCTCGGAGGTTGCACCCCCTTCTTCTTGACACCACCACCATTGGGCAGTTCCCCGGCGATCATGGGGCTTTTCCCCATTTCTAAAAGGAGGAACTCCGCTCCGGACGCTTTCCTCCTGGTTGGAAGTGCACCGAATGTTTAGAAAACACTGGCGTTTTCGGACTGGCCTTGTGGCCATCAGTGCTCATGGCTACGCCTTTGGGGCGGCTTCTGTGAAACAATTTGGACCCTGGGCCCCACCCTTGGTCAGGAATGTCCAGGTCACCGGGAGGAAAGGGGTGGGCAAGATGGGGTGCTTGACTTGACACAGCAGGAAGCCCCATCTCTCTCTTCCAAGGTGCTGTGGCCACAAGTATAGTTTTAGCTGGGGGGGACTCCTCCATTGGGGAGTCAGTGGCTAAATCTTCTGAGAATGACTGGTGGCTCGGTGGGTGGGTGCTGGGTGGCCTAGCAGCCCCCTTGGCTAGATCCCGGAAGGATCTCCCATCCTAGAAATTCAAGGCTGTGCATCAGAGTTGACAATACAGGGCTCAGTGGGCAAGGATCAAATTCGGTATCAAAGAGAACTTCCTGGAGCCTCATGTTCAGGAGCAATCTACCTTGAATTAATGCAGCTCTACAGGCCAGCTGCCCATATTTGAAAAGGCAGCGGGATTTGACCAGCCATGGGAATGGGATTCTAGAGTCTATAGCCCTCTGGCCTGACCCATATTGTTAAGGGCCCAAATCTGGTGGGTGGGTGCTATAGGTTGGGCAACAGGAGCACCCTGTCGGAGTGAACGAAAGAGAAAACTGGAGTCCGTGTCTGAACGTGTCTTTTTCTCACCTTGTTCTGTTTTGTTTTGCTGCAACTGCCTTTTCCGCAGGGAAACACAAACGAGGTAAGCCACTCTGTGGTTTTGTAGAAGTAGCGCTTCTTGCTCCCAGCGCCCTGGTGCGAGTGTCTGCATGCGTGTACCCGTGGTGCTCCACCGGCTTCACCCCCTTGTGCTTCTGCCACACATCGCTCCGGGGGTGGCTGGCCATGCACAGGCCCGCCTGCCCTGTCTGTCGGCTTGCTTCGTGCCAAGACCACCAGGCTTAGTAGAAACAGTGTGCCTCGGGCTGCTGGCCGAGTGACCAACCCGTCACTCCTGGGTCTTGGAGGCCCCTTTCTCATGCCCCCCCCGCCAGGCAGGTTTCGAGGGGCTGCTCGGCTCTGCTTCCGCTGGAGCGGCTCTTCCTGGGCCATGGTACTGCAGCCCCCATGGCATTGCGTTTATTGTAGGGAAAAAAGAGATGTAGAAGCCCCACACCCCCTGATGACCTGATCCAGTGGCCTCATGTAGATGCTGAACAGCATCGGGGAGATAATTGAGCCCTGTGGGACCTCACATTTGAGATTCCACGGAGCTGATACACTCTCCCCAAGCTGCATTAGCCCCCATGGCATTGCGTTTATTGTAGGAAAAAAAGAGATGTAGAAGCCCCACACCCCTGATGACCTGATCCAGTGGCCTCATGTAGATGCTGAACAGCGTTGGGGAGATAATTGAGCCCTGTGGGACCTCACATTTGAGATTCCACGGAGCTGATACACTCTCCCCAAGCTGCATTCTCTGGGGGCGGTCCTCCAAGAAGGATCGGAGCCAGGCTAATGCCACACCACCAATTCCCAGTTTGGAAAGCCTCCCCAGGATACCGTGGTTGATGGCGGCTCAGATATCAAGGAGAACCAACAAAGACCTTTTGCCCCTGTCAGCCTCTCTTAGGAGGTCATCATACAGGACAACCCATACCATTTCCGTACCGTAGCGCAGCCTGAGGCCACACTGAAATGGATCCAGGGCGTTGCTCTAAAGATTCTCGGAAAGCCGTTCCCTCTGATGGAGCATGCTGCAGAGCACAGGGTTTTAAAAGGGATATGTTTGCTGAATAGACTCCCAGGCAGGCGCTCACAGGCACAGCTGGGTCAGACCTTCCGGACTGCAGGGCTGGTCCTGTGTTGCACAGTGGGTTTGAAACACAGATTTGCATGGCTGCCAAGGCGAGGCCTTGATCTTAGAACTGCAGGGCTAGAAGGGACCCTACAGATCCTTGAGGCCAGCTACATGGAAGGAGGCCCAAGCGCTGAGCTATCCAGCTGTTCCTTCCTGCGGCTCCTCCATTAGAGGGTAGCCTCCGTGACCATGAAATCTAGAGAGAGTCACTCGGGAGGACGAACATTATTTCTTTTCTCTCGTTCTAAGTGCTGTGCTTCCGTCCCCAGGCTTTGTACAAACTTTACAGCGCGGCAGCCACCCACCGACACCTATACCACCACGCGTTCCCCGCAGCACAGAAGACAGAACCCACGGATGGCGCGGAAAAAAAGGCCATGTAACGCAGGTGCTTTCCAGAGAGGTGCATGAAAACACATCGTCGTTAAAACATGTTAATTATTTTTGCATCCCCCTACATAAGCCTCTGACATTCTTCAGAGTGGAAGACAGAGGAAGCTGATAACCCATTCACTTGTACCAATGGCTTAAGTGTGGCTGCTTTAATTTGGGCCGTGCCCTGCTTGAAAAAGGGGTGGGGGACCAGTCAGCATGGCTGTCGTTTTTCTTTATAATGCACTGACTTAAATTTTGCCGCAAGACACCATGGTTCCCCCTCAAATCCTCTTGCTTGGTTTCGGGACGGAGGCTTAGAGCCAGAGAAAGCGGTGGCCACTGTTTGGACAAAGGGCTTCTCTCCCTTCTAAGGACAGGGTCCAGCCACCCAAAAACTGAGCACCTGGCCAAGGCAGCTGCTAGCCACCCTCCCCGCCCTCTGCCCCAGCTGGACTTCTTTGGGTCCAAGTCCCCCCCCAAGCTGTTTATAGGACTGCAGGCTTCCTCAGCAGAAAACACTCACTTTGTGGTTCAAGAGGGACCAACGTCTCGTGACCTTCTCCAATTTGCGCACAACAATTTTTGAGTTAACACACACACTTTTCTCCTGCCAGCTGTGAATGACAATTTACTCACTTTAAAGGATTGCCTTCGCTGAAGCTGCAAGGAATATTTCTTTTGCTCTGGTATGTTAAAAAGATGGAAAAGTTCCTCTCTTTTTTTGTACATGTATTTGAGAGTTTCACAGTATATATATTTTTGTTTAGTGCATAAAGAAGTGTGCCTAGTTTTTATTATTTTATTGTCAATTAAAAGTTTGGTTCCTAAGACAATTAGCTCTTCTCTCTTTTATTCCTTTCCAGTTGCGCCCATAAAAAATTCCTGCCCACCTCTATACTATGGGCAGGATCCAGCCGTCCTTTGCTGCTGGCAGCTCTCCGGTTGCGCTCCTCCGCTCAACAGCTGCCACGATAGCCCCACAAACGGCACTGAGGCTGTTCAAAAGGCACGGGGAAGTGGCGATAAGGGTCTGTTGTTTTCAGGGCTGTTACAAGCTGCTATTGAATCTTCTCGATTTTGTGAAGAGCTGAGCATATGTGGCAGAGGGCGGGCTGAGGTTCGAGAAAAGGCTCACAATCCTTGGGTTGACCAAACTAGTTCCTTCTCAGCTCATGCCTTGATTACAACACTTTGTTTTGGAAATTCCACCCCATCCAGCTGCTTCCAGGAGCACAGCTGCTTCTCCAGGAAGTATTTACATCTAGCTTTGAGAAAAGCATACACGTAGTACACTCTTAGTCTTAGTTCTCCTTGGACAAAGAGGTATCAATAGTCCTTCATTCTGTAAGAAAAAAACAGCCTCGGGATGAGAAGATAAAATTCTTTTAACTTGCCCCAGTGAGCCTAGCCAGATCCTGCCCCAGCTTTTCTTATCCTGATTCCGAAGGCGGAGTTCACTCAACCCTCCCTCCGCGAAGAGGACCACACCGTGTGAGGATCTGGTCCTTGTTCCTTCCCAGCTGGCTTTCCCTCACAAATTAAAACAAACCGGAAAACTGCTGAGACTTGCAGGGCATAAGAGGTTATGAAAATGCCTCTTAAGGAGTACCCATAAACAACATTTTGAACTGTGACGGGGATACCTCAGAGGCAAACAGATCTTTGCTGGTACAGGATCATAACAAGACTCATTCCACAATGACTGAGTTGAGCCGCTCAGCCTTCCAGCTGCTTCTTAACCCAGAACTTGAGGGCACCCTTGACATGTCGCTTCAGCTGCACTTCCCCCCTAAGCCTGTGCATTGTCCTTCCTGCCTGACACCAAACAATCAAATTAAGGCAGCTGTTTATTAAGTGTCTTGAGTCCAGGACAGAGCTAACTTTCACAAGGCTTTTAAGGAAAGGTCCATGTGGCTGTTTTCCATCTTGCCTTGAGCAAGCACTGCCGTGCTCCTGCAAATCGAGAATGGCCTGGTTTCCCTTTCACCTCACCTGAAAAAGATCTGCAGGACCCTACATTAGGGGCATGAGGGCTTCTTAAAGGATGCTGCTGTGCGGCCAGGGCCATGCTCACAAGGACCATTTTTGTCATCTGGAAAACAAAACGCTGCTTCTCCCCAGCACAGTGGGTTGGTAGAAAAGAAAAACACTCCCCAGCCCAAATAATTTTTCTTCTCTTCCACGTCCACACGGGCTCTCCAAATTAGAAACTAACTTTTATACAATATAACAAACATGTTTTTGTATTCAATAAACATGATACACAAAAGTGGGAATTACAAAAGGTGCCAAGATCCATTGAAAAAAGAAGCTGCCTTTTAAACCAAAGCATGTTTTTCTTTAAAAAAAGAAGAAAAAAGTGTGAAGTTCCTTGAAAAGTCCCCAGCGGAAGACCACCAACTCAGAAATTCTTCCCGTGCTGCTGGGCATACCACTGTTTCCTCTGCTTTCGATTTTCCAGCTCTGTGAGGAGGGCTTGCCTATACGCTTCGTAGGTCTTCACGATCCGCTCCAGTTCCTTCATGAAAAGCAGCTTGAGCATCCCTTGGTAGGTATCCAGGTCCGCCAACTGGAAGAGCTCCCACTTTAAGATGTGGTCATACCTGTGGAAAGGGGGGAAGAGAACAGAGCAAAGGCACGCACAATAAAATTAAGGGCAAAGAGCGCTACACCAAGAGTAGAGCACGGTCTATCAACACTTCCCATTCCTCTGTGAGGACACGACTAGTTTCCTGAAGAGGCTAATCTGAGCAGGTGGCCCATGATACAGTAGTTAATTTGAAGGCATGAAGAATAGAGGGACTGAGTTTTAAAATTCTGCCACAGAATAGTGTTCAGAGCCCACCCAGCATCTCCCAAAAAGCTATGGCCACAGGGTTCTGTTTTTGTCCTGCTCTGCTTTGTTATGCATCAGTTGATAGCCCTCAAAACAGTTTACTGTGTGGTAAAGAAACTCTGGAACTCCCTGCCACTTGAAAGGCCAGGCTGGTTCCGTCTTTACAGTCTTTCATTCCGCAAGCAGGCAAATAGACTTTTCTTCTTCAGGCGAGCTCACCCTGAGCGACCAGTGGCCTGAGTGCGGGTCTTTAAACTGAGTGTTGCGCCTTGCTGTTTTGAATGTGTTTGGGTGCTGCTTATGGGGTTTTTTTTTGGCATTTTACTTGTTTGATCCTTTTAAATTAGAATTTGTATCCTTACTGTGGTTAGCTTTAATATTGTCTTTTAATGGTGTAAGCGGCCTCAGGTTGTTTTTTTAAAGAAGAATGACGGGGTGAAAGTGCTTTAATATTGTCTTTTAATGATGTAAGCGACCTCAGGTCGTTTTTTAAAGAAGAATGACGCGGTGAAAGGATTTAAAATAAATAAAATACATTTGCTGAACACTCACTTCACAGGCGCCCGGGCATAAACCTGCAGCCAGTCAGGGATCTCTGCGGTGTGGTATGGATTTGCAGGAACCAGAATCGTCTGACTTCTCTCAACTTGTCGCGGCTGATACGTCACAGGAGGCGGCTGGTCGTAACGAGGAACACTGCATGAGGCCAAAGTAAACGAAAAGGAGAACTTTAGCTATTTCCAAAACATTAGAAAAACTCTTGAGAACCTTCAGTTCATGGACTCCAAGGACCTCTTCTGGTATTGCTGGTTTAGGAAACAAAGATCTATGCGGAGGGAGGTGGGCTAATTTAGCAGGTCTGGGGATGGGGGAGAATCTATTTTATTCCCACTCTCTGCTACAGACTGCCAGCTCCCGGCTGCTGGAAGTGCTTGGCAGACACGGAGAAGAACACCACATATTTCAGCAGTTTCCTAGCACCATTCAGTTGCCTGCACTGCATGTAGTTCCACCTGTCCCCCCCCTTGGATTGTGGTGGCCACCAATGGCCTTGTCTTCGCTTGCCACTGAAATCTGGAGTGATTACTTGCCACTGAAATTCAGCAGCACCGTGTTCAGAGGAAGCACAGTCACCACTCCTGACCCGAGTGGACACCAGTCACAGCGCTCTTCCCGGATAAACGCTAAACACCATGGAAGTCCTTAATATGTACTGGTGCTAAATCAGTTCAGATTGATCACCCTCGAGTGAAACCTCCCATCTTTTCAGCAGTTCATCCCATGGAGTACTGGGGGGGGGTGTCTGCCATTACCTGGGAGCACAAGGGTGCTTGTACTGCGCTCTTTTATTGATGTGGTCGACGTAGTACACTCCAAACTCGGCTGACTCCACGCGTTCCCATCCTGGGGGTAGACCCTCTCGCTCGAGCGGATGGCTCCAGTGCGTTGTGTTCGTGTTATGGTCTATGTAGTACTTTCTTCCTCTCAGGGTCCAGTCTACGGACCAGCCGGGAGGCAGTGGTAAGTCTTCTGAACTGTGGTTTGTTAAGTTTCCTAACGACGTAGCAGCTATCCTTCCAATGCCTGAGAAAATGGAAAGCCAAACAGGATGCAGTGAAACAGACATTCTTTAGCAGGCTCTTGCGACATTACACATTTTCTTTCCTCAGAAAAGCAGCAAGAGATGGTAATCAGTGCTCGTACTGACAAGATTTACAGCTTCCTCTCACTAGGGCTCCAGTTGCCTGCTGCCTACAAAAATGTTTAATGGATACTAATAGAAATATTCTTATAGCTGCCCTCATGCCACTCAACCACAAAATCCAGGCTCAAGACGCACACTTCACAGAACACGAAGCTGTTCTCAAATGATGATTTTCAAAAGGTTTTTCCTCTATTCATGGAAATACAGTTACCATAAGGAAGATTAAACTTTGGCCCAAAAGGGAACAATGTGCTAAGCTACAGCAGGGAATGTAGTCGCCAAAAGGACTTATCAGAAAAGCACTGAAGGTGTTCAAGACTTAAAAAACAGGATGGTGTCTTTGAAAACAACCCTGTCCTCAACTGTTAAATTAAGTTTCCCAGAATGTCAGAAAACAAGTCCTGGAGCACAACCTTGACCCCACCCTTCTAAAAAATGGTCAGTGCTGGGCTCCCTTTTGATCTGGACAAAATCTTGCTGTCACATGACACGTCAGCCACAGACAAAATTTCCAAAGCACGCGGGAGTCCAGCTTGCATCCAAAGCTAGACTCGTCCATCAGTCCCAGCCGCAGGGCCCCCCACCCCACCCACATCCAGCGACCAGGCCGAAAAATGCCTTGTCTCAGGATTCCTGCCTGGGCTTCTTCTCTGGAGCTGCTCCTAGGGGCCTTTTTTTCTGCTTGCAGAAAGCACTGTTCTACCATTCTTGAGCAAGCCACGAAGAAGATAATTGGGCATCATAGTCAAGAGAAGGGGACACTTACAGATCGGGCATTCTGCACACTCAGAAGCTCAAGAATAAAATTTAGCTAGCCTATTTCCCTGGAGAACAGGATGATGAGGGCCAGCACGGCACAGCAAGGATTCCTAGACTTCCCCAGCTGCCAATGAGGAGTCCAGCTAGCCGAGAATACTACAGAACAGCTTGCCAGGATTCCCCTGCCCCCCAATGCCTTGTGGGCCATTCAAGAAAAAATCGGACCGCCCTCTGTCCGATCTGCTCTGATTTGCATTCCTGCCTTGAGCAGGGGGTTGGGCTCGATGGTCTTCCAAGGCCCCTTCCAACCCCATGAGTCTACGATTCTATGAAGATAAAACAGAAGAGCCGCCTCCCTTGCAAAAACTAATCACCACCCAAAGGTTCCCTAAAGGCCTCAGTGGATCATTATTGTGGCCCACCAACTAATTAGGGAGAGAATTCCAGATATTTTTTGGAGTTACAATGTGTACAAACACATTTCCCTCTCCTCTGCTACAGAAAACGATGCTACTGGGGAAGAAATGGAGGACTAGAAACATGAACTGTTGTGTTTTTATGCATTCTAGAAAAACCTCGCAACAAGAGAGATGCTTTCTAGAATCCAATGCCCACAGAACCTTGAGTTATAAACTCTTGTATATATACCAGCACCCTAAATCCAAATGAAGAATGTCAGGGCAAAAGCTGGGCTGAAATGTTTCCAGATTCCTCTTCATAACGATGCTTCAAGAAGTCAGATGGTTCTTAGTTTCACAGGCCCTCTGAAAAAGCTGGCGTTGGCCAAGCGCATCCAAGCTTTAGATGCCCAGTATTAGACTGTATTTTGGAATATGTAAGTAACCAGCTAGGAGGCTGCAAAATCAGCCAACTGCAGCCCTTCCCTCTTTCTTCAACTTACACCCTGTCCCCTGTATTTTTGCAGACAGAATTCTGCTTCCCACCCAGTCCAACCCAATTCCTTCAACCACTGCTAATGGACACGTGCTGCCTTTATCCTCGCAGAGACAGAAGGCGCCCTCTGCTCAGCGTGGGCTTTCCTTTGTTGGGGGACAGCACGCATCTCGATCTCTCTCGTTTCAGCGGGATCTTCGAAGACGAGGCCCTGGGATAGCTGTGGCATTACTTGTGGCTTTCATTCTCTCCTCTCAGCCATCACATCATGTCTTCCAGCCTCGGCAATCACAGTGGCAAGCGGCCACCCCAGCAGCTTCCGACTCCACTCCCACAGCCAGGCCACAGATACCACCAGACTCCCACTGGCCGGAGTCCCAGTCCGCGAAAATCTGCCATGGCCTTCAAAGCCTCTTCTCCTGCCAATCAGCCCATGGATGCATCAGGGGCCCCAAGGAACAACAGACTTCTATAAGCTGGGCTGCAGCCCCAATGCTGAGGCTCTGAATTTTATCAATTTCTTCAGCAAACCAAGTTTGCACAATTCAGATACATAAACAATGAATTTGACAGAGCACACAGAGTGCCTCTCTTTGAGTCCAGCTTCTCTGCTAATAAAAAAAAATCTGCAAGAAAAGTGCTTCTTTCCCAAAACAACGTTTCATACTTGAGGTCAGTAACCCCAAGGTCTTGACATCTTTTCCTGCATAAATTTATTCTTCTTCTTCTGTGCTCAGAACAACCAACTTGACTGCGATGTACTTTAAAAATCAGAAAGCTGGACAGAAATGCTGTACGTTGACATTTCTATTAGTTAAGATTACAAAGAAGTTCTAAAGCATTAATGACTACACAAACATTACTGAAGAATTCTCCTAAGTCGATGAACTTCCTGCTGGAAACATTAAAAAGCCACAAGAAAAGCAAATCAGCCAGAGTACTATTCAAGACAAACTCTTTCAGATCCTGCATGATACCAGTTCTGAAGGATTTGCACTGGATGCTAAGAGACTTTCAGTCTGGGTTCAAGGTCTTGAACGCTGGAGGCTCAGTTCTGAAGGATTTGCACTGGCTGCCAAGTGACTTTCGGTCCGAGTTCAAGGTCCTGATGAAGGCTGGAGGCCTTCAAGACAAAATGGGACAAACATCTATCAGATCTGCTTTGATCTGGATTCCTGCCTTGAGTAGGGGGTTGGACGTGAGGACCTTAGAAGCCCCCTTCCCATTCCAAGATTCCTTGATACGTTAAAAGCCCTAAATGGTTTGGGACCTGAACGCTTGAAGGAGCACCTCTCCCTATATAAACTTGCACAGTCACGAAGAGTCTGCTGGGGTGGCCCTCCTCTCTGTCCCACTATCGAGAACAGTTCATTACCTGGAGACACGGGGGAGCACTTTCTCAGCTGGAGCACCCCAACTTTGCCACCCCTTGGAGGCTCAACTGGCACAGATCCTGGCATCATTTCAAGTCAAAACAGTTATTTATGACAGCCTTTGGCAGTTGAGGATTAAAGGCCTGCACAGGTTTTAATGCAATGGTTTTAATGTTTTATGTTTTCAGCTGGTTTATGTTTTCAAATCATTCCATATGGTTCTGTAACCTGACCAGAGATCCTGTGAGACAGGGCAGGCCACAGATTTCTGAAATAAAAGCAAGCAAACTTTACGAACACCATATGACCTGTGCATCTCCTTCACGTCCAAGCCCCAGGACCCCTCCCGCTTCACTACAGACACAGAATGATCAGTTTTCTGAGGCATCTTCACGGCAACGCCTAGCACTTCAACCTCAATCAAGCAACACTTGGGTCTTCCCCTTATGATGCCCCCAGCCCTTTTCCTTCAAAATGCAAATTTGCAAAAGCTGCCATGGCTATGTTCCAAAATCCAACCTGGGATTACACCTGGAGAAGGCAACATCTACTCATGACCACTCTGCTCTCCCCCCACATCCGTCTCCACCACACAAGCGGGCAGAGGGCCCGTCTCTTCTTCCTCAGGGCTCCTTGGACATGCTGCTGATAAATTCCACTCCTTTCACAATACAGTGCAAGATAATCATAGGTATAATGCTTCCGGCCAAATAGCATCTGGAAAAGGTGGTTTCAAGCATCAGAAGGGTGAGATATACTGTTTGTTTGTATATAACCACATTTTTTCCCAAAAGGAAAGCAGGAAATAATACTGCGAACACCATCATTATTTACTGCCCCCATGTGCTTCTGAATGATTTTCGCTGCCCGGTAAGCCAGGAAACCATGTGAAAACACAGTGGGCGGCCATTTTTTTTACCTGGTGGCCATTTTGGAACCGCCGATCAGCTGTTAAAAAAACATCGCTATGCGATAATCAGTAAGTGAAACAGCATACCAATCATCACAAAGCGTTTTTTTTTCTATCTAAAACATCGCAATGCAATCGCTTTTGCAATCACAAAAAATCGCTATGCGGATTCGTCGTTAAATGGAGCGCTCATTAAGCGAGGCACCACTGTAATGCTTCCGGCCACATACCATCTGGAAACGGTGGGTTTAAGCATCAGAAGGGTGAGATATACTGTTTGTTTATATATAACCACATTTTTTCCCAAAAGAAAAGCAGGAAATAATATTGCGAATGCCATCATTATTTACTGCCACCATGTGCTTCTGAATAGCATGCACGCTTGGGATTAACAAAAAACCAAAAACCACGGGCACTTGCCTGAACCGTGTCTTCCCTGATTCTGAGACATCCTATGGATGAGGTCACTGTTATGTTCATAGTATCTATATTCCTCTTGCGCGTGATCCCCCAACTGGTGTCTCCTTTGGCCATTGTAGAAGTGGTCATAATAGTAACGAGGTCCAGCATCTCCATTCTCAGTGCCCGAGTTGGCCTCTGTTAAAAAGGACTGCGATGATAAACCGTATTCTTGGGGGACGTCAGCCAAACTCCTGGCAAGATAGGATGGAGCAGAGAGCCTGTTGCTCTCCCGCCTCACAATCTCATGGGGAGGCCTCTGCACAGGAGTCCGGAGGAAGCTCTGGTTTCTGGAAACGGCTCCATCTCCACCCACTGGGTAAGCAGAAGGACCAGAATCTGGGAGGCAGAGGTCGGTTCGTCTTGGAATGGTCGGACCATGGCGGATAAATGAAGGCATCAGGTCTGCAACCAAGACAACAGTGAGAACAAATACCACACAGGTAGGTAAAGACCTTGATAACTACACACCAGAAGAAAAAAAATGAATCTAAGCACAGGAGTAACAGCGCCCTATGCATGCAAGGAATAGGAAAAACCATGCCACAATGCCAAGACCATTCATTATTAGTAACGAGGTCCAGCATCTCCATTCTCAGTGCCCGAGTTGGCCTCTGTTAAAAAGGACTGCGATGATAAACCGTATTCTTGGGGGACGTCAGCCAAACTCCTGGCAAGATAGGATGGAGCAGAGAGCCTGTTGCTCTCCCGCCTCACAATCTCATGGGGAGGCCTCTGCACAGGAGTCCGGAGGAAGCTCTGGTTTCTGGAAACGGCTCCATCTCCACCCACTGGGTAAGCAGAAGGACCAGAATCTGGGAGGCAGAGGTCGGTTCGTCTTGGAATGGTCGGACCATGGCGGATAAATGAAGGCATCAGGTCTGCAACCAAGACGACAGTGAGAACAAATACCACACAGGTAGGTAAAGACCTCGATAACTACACACCAGAAGAAAAAAAATTAATCTAAGCACAGGAGTAACAGCACCCTATGCATGCAAGGAATATAGGAAAAACCATGCCACAATTCCAAGACCATTCATTACGCTAGAGACGAGCAGCAAAGCACTGAAGTTCTGTTCCACACATCGGTATGCAAGGGATACTCCAGTCCAGAGCATAAAAGGCTAAGACCAGCAAATCAACACAAAAGACAAGTCTCTGCTGCAATGCCATGAATTTTTGTACATAAGGTTATGTACAGGAAGTCTGTGGAATGCTCCAAAATAGAACGTATATTTTTGACACTTGGGTAATCAATGGTCTAGCTTGACACTGGATGGTTGTTCTGCAGAGAAAGCACGACATACTTCCTGAGACGTGCACACTCACTGTTCAGTATAAAGCCAATACTGCACCCATTACCTCTACCAAGCCATTCATTCTTCTCTTTAAAGAACTATAAGTAGCGCAAAACATGGCTGGGATACTATCTTATGTCATCTTGGTTTCTAATGAACTTCAAACATGGCACGTGTAACGTGGAACTGACCGGCAGGGTTACCCTCGTGTAACATTCAGGCAACCTGTTCAGAAGCCCTGAAGGCAGCTACAACCCAGAGACTATTTCTTCACCGGCTATTTCCAATATTCTTGGCCCAAAAGTACCCCACACGAACTCCTCCCCATGACAACAAGTAAAATATTGCCCAGGAGCTAAAGATGCTACTAGGTTTTCAGGTATCAACACTCTCACAAGAAAACCCAACTCCAACTGAGCTCTGCGCTAGTCTGAAAAATGTTGCCAACATTTCCGACAAGTGACTTTTCCTGTGTAAATGTGAACTTTGACAGGGTTGGCAAATTCAAACCGGAACCCTGAACTACTTCTCAAGAGTTTTCAGAACTGCACAAGGCCAAAGAAGTCCCGTTTGTGCACTGTCTCCTACCTGGATTCTTCTACCAACCAGCTTTAATACAGAAGATAAAAATAGGCTTGCTAGAGAAAACCAGGGCTTGTCAAATCCATTTCGCTGTTTTAATCAAATGTAAGTCAACGGGAATCCTACAGACAAGGCAGCACACGATACCCATCTTTTGTTTTGCCTCAGTATCTGGTCTCTGAGGCATACAACCTCTGACAATGGAGGCCTGCTTCATTTAGTTCTCCCTTTTATGAGATAATCCATTTAAAAGGCTATCTAAGGCTAGCAAGGTATACACTAAGCCCAGTCACTAAAGCAACATTTCTCGGCTTTTTCTAAACCAGGCTCCCTTTCGATAAACACAAAAATCGCACACACTGTCTTTCAAAACTGCTGGGAGGGTCTATTTCGGATTGGGAAAAGTGGTAGGATTAGAAGGATAATGATTTTCCTGCATTTAATCCAGATCCANNNNGGGGGGGGGGGGGAAGGTTAGCTTTTGCCCTGGAGGTGTGCCAGATTTAACAGAGCCAAATGAAAGGAAATCTATCTGTATGCTGAACATCATAGGATGATTGAAAAACAATGTTTAATTGTTACAATCCTGCCTTTCCCTTCTGCTAACAAAGGCACAGCAACATATACTGTTCTATGTATTTGTGAAGGCTTTTCATGGCCGGGATCTAATGGTTGTTGAGGGTTTTTGGGGCTCTTTGGACGTGTTCTGAAGGTTGTTCTTCCTGACGTTTCGCCAGTCTCTGTGGCCGGGATCTTCTGAATATACTGGGNNNNACGTCAGGAAGAACAACCTTCAGAACACGGCCAAAGAGCCCCAAAAACCCACAACAACCATATACAGTACTGTTCTCTTCCCCCTCCCTCTGCCTGCACAACAACCCTGTGAAGCAGATCAAGGCGGGAGTGTGTGACCGACCTAAGCTCTCCATCACGTGGGGATCTGAACTCAGGCTTCCCAAGCCCTAATCCAATGCTCTAACCACTAGGCCACACCAGTTCTCTAAGAATACAATGGATGATAATAATAGTTACTTCCTTCTCTTTTCAATATTTTTAAATATAGCATAACACCTGCCCTTGTTATATCTTCCCAAAGGGAAGAGATCCATCCTAATCAGTGGATTAAAACAACAACATGCTGTCAAAACGATTCCACCATATGGAGACTCTTTCTGGGGGGCCCCTTTTAGCACCATATAAATAAGTAATTCCTTTCTCCCTCTGAGTCCTTCCGGGAACTGATGCCCCAAGATTTAGAGTGAGAGAAAAAAGGGGTCCTTGGCTGTAGAGCTACTGTGATCGCTTAAAAGTTAAATTCTCCACCCCTGACTCTGTCCCTGACTTCCTGCAGTGTGCCTTTAAACAAGAAGGCAAGTTGGGGCTGGATCTGATGCAGGTTTACTCTGAAGTCAGCCCTCCTTTAGGCCAGCCAGCAAACCAGCCATCAGGCACAGCCTTTGGGCCTCCAAGGATCCTTCGCCAGAGGACCCCTAAGCGCAGCTTCCTTTCCGAAGGCGCTTTTTTGTACTTTGGAAAGGGTTAAAAGGGAGGGGTGGAAACCACACAGGGCAGCGGCAGCTCTTGTGGGCATTTACTCTAGAGTAAGCCACGGGGAGGGCTTTACTGTCCTCCTTTCAGCAGAGCCTACTCCAAGTTGCCCAGCGATGCTCCTCAAGCTTTAAAAACAAGTGTGTGTGTGTGTGTGTGTTTTTGTGTGTGTGTGTAAATATATGTGCTGTACACACCTCTAGACCTAGATCCAGACTTGCAATCTGATAATGGATCTAGAGGTGTGTGTGCGCGCACATATATATATGTCTATGTACACACACACACACACACCCCTCTCTTGATGCATAGAAACCAAACTTCCCGTCAAAAACCCCTACAATACACACATTTTTTACACACACACACAGACACACACACACACACAGACACACACACACACACAAACTGTCCGCCACAGTCCAGGAGATTGGAGGAGCAGAAAAAAGAAGCAGCCAAGAGGGGAAGGAACCCCCCCTCCCTCATTTATCGTCCCCAACTACCCCCACACACCCCCGCCCGGGCTCCCCCTTGAGGAGATGAGGCAGGGGATTCTGGGGGCGGTAGTCCCTCCCTCCCTCC